TCATCTGCAGCTGCCACACAGCTGCCTTTGGTTTTTTTTTTCTGTTTCTTGTTTCCTCCTTTCTGTTGATTTTTTTTGTTCGTTTTTTGTTGGAATATAGCGATTAATGATAAGCTAACTTGCAATATTAAAATTAAAAGGGGTATATGTAAACAAACAGACTTTTGGAAAATATGGGGAAAATTTATTGAGTATGTGTTTAATGAGGGAAAGGGGTATAAGCCAGCAAGAGAAACAATGATATTCTGGAATTGTGAAACAACATGAGTTGGTTGGTCCTGGTGGAGGGGGCACAAACTAAGGGTAAGGGGAAGAGGGGGGGGAGTATTAAAGAGAAATAACAGGAGTGGACCATGGTCAATATCCAAAGAGCGCTCATCATTATGTTTCCAAAACAAAATAAGATTGAATGATGGGACATGTCTAGGATGTGCATGTTGCATATATGTTACTATCATATTGTATTTGGAGAGTGAATGAGTGACTTGATTATAAGAATTGGTCAGATTCTAATTATTATTATTTTGTTTTGTAAATTGAGAGAAGTCTGAATTGACTTATAGTTAGTTAAGAATTTGTAGTAGTTATAGAGTATAGGAATAATTTAGTGATAAAGGTATGTTTACTTAATGTTTATGTTAAATTGAATAAATGCAATAAAAATAATTTTAAAAAAATAGTTCAATCTCATGTTACAGATTATAACCAGGCTTTTATTACCAATAAAGACTGCTAACCTAAATTACAAGCTGTAAAATTATTAATGTAGTATTTAAATAAACTGATATGACAAGGCAATTGAAACAGTTCCTAAACAACAGAGAATCACCACAATCTATATGTTAGGATACAGAATTTTGCCTCAATTACTCCCACTTCATTGAAAGCTGTTTAAATGTGAAACAGTTAAAACCTTCTCAATAAGATATACCCTCCTTGAAATAAGAGATACCCATAAAATAAGTCATAACAGGATTTCTAAGACATAGTGATAGGCGTGGCTATCCAGTATACAAGAGCGGCTTTCCGTCAGGTCCCAATCGTACTATGTGTGCTGCAAGCTAAGACAGTGGTTCTCAACCTGTGGGTCCCCAGGTGTTTTGGCCTACAACTCCCAGAAATCCCAGCCAGTTGACCAGCTGTTAGGATTTCTGGGAGTTGAAGGCCAAAACATCTGGGGACCCACAGGTTGAGAACCACTGAGCTAAGGCATAGAGGGAGACAGAAAGTGAAAGTAAAAGTCTTCTCGGTGAAGTGAGGAGGAGGATGCTCTGCTTTAGGTATTGTGTGTCCTCAGGGGGAAGAAGCAAAGCCGTGGCTATTGTTTTACTGAGCACTGTGTGTCTCTCTCCCCCAGCATCAACCAGCAACCGTTTGTGGGTCTTTCTCGCCCCCCACAAACACCAGTAAATCTGCTGCTCCTCAGCACTGACCAGCAACAGTCTGTGGGTCTCCCTCACCTCACACAAACACCAGGGGATAGGGAAAAAAGCTTCAGCAAGCAATCTGCTACTGAGCCTAGAGAGATCATCCCATACATGCAGATTGTTGTGCCATACTTAATAAAAATAAGACATCCCCTGAAAATAAGCCACAATGTGTCTTCTTGAGGAAAAATAAATATAAGACAGTGTCTTTTTTTGAGGAAACATGATAACTCTTTTTCAAATTACTTTTTCTGTATCCTTTTTTGAGGAAACATGGTAACTCTTTTTCAAATTACTTTCTCTGTGTCTTTTTTTGAGGAAACATGGTAACTCTTTTTCAAGCTACTTTCTCTTGCAAATTCTGTTCTGCTTTGTTCTCCTTCAGCCTTGCTGAAAATAAAGGACAAATCTCAAAAGTTTTATTTCAAAAATTATTCAATTCATCGATTTTTGCCACCAATCTGTTCAGTGCTCCATTCCATAATACAAAAACCAACTCCAAGCATTTGTAAAACAAGCAAGAGTAAGGAAAATGTATGAATGCCTTAATGAAATATGAAAATGATTACCTCAAAGGGAAAATGTAAGTTTTAGCAAATTATCCAGTATAATGTCTTCGTTATTTCTCTTCCTCTACCAAACTGATTAAACTTCTTGGCCTTTCAAAGTGACTCCCCATTAGCTTTAATGCTCTGTAAGGCTTATCCTTCTACCTTCTTGCTTTCTTATCAGAATTTTGATAAGGACCTATTTATTTATTTACCACACTTATATCCCACCTTTCTCAACCCTGAAGGGGACTCTGGACAGCCTGAGAAAGGCAACAATTCAGTGCCATATATTAATACATCAGTAAATAAACAGTTAAAACCAACCCCATTAAAAATATAGCATTAAAACATCAGTTAAAATCACATGATCCTAAGCCCCATGAAGTACAGCCCTGTTATTTATCAATTCTGTATATTAGGGAACATTAGTACAATAAAATTACATTGTTTTCCAAGAGATCAAAGAGCTGTTTCTTAAAGTTTTGATGAATTGCATTTGAAGAACAATAACATTAAAAGGTACTCACCTAAGACTGTTCAACAATTCCTCAGCTGACTGTAATTGTTCAGACATAGATTTTCTTTTCTTTTCACACTCTTCTGTTAGCTCCTCATTTATAGCTATTGCATTCACAAGTTTGTCATGAACGATGTCATATACACCTTTTGTCTTTAAAAAGAAAAGACACTGCTTCAGAAACGTAGTGTCACAAAATCAGAATGACTGTTCTCATGTGTGTCTTATAAATGCACAGTGGTATACTTTTTACATATTAACTATTTTGTATTTTTCTGCCACATTTCTAGAAGGGTAAATTTAACACAAAAACTTTTCAAAATCCAGTTTTCACAGGAACAAAAAAGCGAGGTGGAATCTTCTGAACAGGGGCACAGACAGCAAAACAAACATCACAAGGGTGTTAACCCTTCCCTATTCTATTCTGAAGCTTAAAAATTCATATTATTCTCTGGAGTTATACTTAAAAATGTACCTGTTCTAACTTACAAACACACTCAACTTAAGAACAAACCTACAGAACCTATCATGTTCATAACTTGTGGATTACCTGTATACTATTTTTATAGTACATTTGTTTTTGAAATTCATAGCTAATTATGTTTTTAGTTTCTATCTCAAAGATAAATTATTATTATTACTATTATATTTATTCTAAAGGAGAGAGAAAGTATGGCCTAATGTGTCATACTTTCACATTTCCTTTATATTCACAAGTGTGGAACAGTTGTTCAATGCGAATATTTATGATGGACAAGTACCAAAACTATAGGGAAAATGCCAAAAAATATTTAAAGTCGTTACCTGTTCGTATTTCTTTTTTATTTCTGTTACAGAATCAGATTCATAAGTCAGCTTTTCTTCCAGCAGAGGGCTGTATTTCTTCATGAAGTCTATATTCTCCAGAATCTTTGCATTAGTGCTATCTATTTTTGTCAGCTGGTTTACTGCATCATGTAGTTGTTGTTTTTTTTCTTCAAAATGCCACTGTAGTTGTGCAATATCTTCAGAATACTTTTCCCATTCTATACCAAAATATATGCATATATGCTATGATATATAATAAAGCTAAAATATTGTATTTAAAGTTTGATCATACAATGTAAGCTAAAACATTGTCAAAAGTATATAGTTTCCTAAAAAAAATGTACTTGTAAAAATTCCCCTGTGGCTTTCAGTCAATGAAGAAAAGGAACATCCTCATAGCCCAAAAAAACCCTACAACAGCCCAACATCCTCATTGCACAGAAACATGTCATATTCTATTTAACAGCAATCTCCCCCAAATTGTGAAATTAAATTTCCTGTGAATATTCAGTTAAGGCAACAGACCTACATCTCAGGACTGTTTTCTCCAATTTGGGTGGAAATGGGGTTCTCATGGCTTGATATTTAGCCGGCATGATTTTTGAACTTTTCTGTTTCACACACTTCTTCACCCTAATATTTGTAATGCTCAGTCTGATTATTTGGAGCTCTGAAATATGCAAATGCTTGTCCCTTCAATGATGTTGTAAAATCATTATCCTGTGTGATTTTTTAAATGAAATGTTATGGTTGAATGAATGACGTAGCTTGTTTTCATATAATACAACAAAATTCTTTTCACTGATATAAACTAATAGTTATCACGGGGGATGCATAATATCACTCTTGCTACCTCTGCTGGGGACACTACATAGGGAAAAGTTTTTCAGCTTGTACAAAGGCCAGACAGCTCAGCTTTAATTTCTCCCAACGATATCACGTTAGCATAGTTTAGGGAAGACAAGGACCTCTCTAGTTGAGAATTCCAAACAACCAAAAAATTCAAGGACACATTAACCATGACAGTCAATTGAAAGCAAAAGTGAGGAATAAAGGTAGCAAAAATCATTTCACAGTAAATACAGCCAAACCTAAATCCTACTAGTTAGCATCAACCTGAATAGTTCCACCTGATTGTCAAATGGGAAATTAATTACAGTAGAGCCTTGCTTATCCAACCTCCATTCATCCAACATTCTATATTATCCAAGGCAGTCGGCCTCCTGCTCGGATCCACAACTGTTTCAATACGTTATTATATTTTGGTGCTAAATTTGTGAATACAGTAACTACTACATAATGTTATCATGTATTGAACTTTTTCTGTCAATTTGTTGTAAAACATGATGTTGTGGTGCTTAATTTGTAAAATCATAACATAATTTGACATTTAATGTTTTTTTCATTAATCCAACGTTTGCTTATCCAACGTTCTGCTGGCTCATTTATATCAGATAAGCGAGATCCGACTGTAAATCCCACAAATGTAATAGGTCTGATAGACACTTTCCAAGGCCAGTAAATTTATTTGAAAATGTACTCAATTCCTATCTTACAGACAAGGTATGTACACATTATCTGTGAGTCATTGCAACTGCGTCAAAGGCTGGTTGTTGAGACATTAGTTATTTAACTCATTGTCCGTCCGTCCGTCCGTCCCCCCCATTTAGAAAGGAATAATTGCATGTACACAGATATGGAGGTACATAATTAAATGCACATAAGCATCATTTTTAAATTCATAGACGATTTAAAAATATGGATACAATGCTTAAATGTTAGGCCCCGTGTACAATGTCTTATAATACAGTTTGAACTGCATTATAATGATCAGTGTAGACTCATACAATGAGGACTGAACCACATTGAACTGAATTATATGAGTCTACATTACCATATAATCCAGTTCAATGCAGTTTATCTGCATTCTGGAACTGGATTATATGGCAGTGTAAATGGGGCCTTGGGACCCTTCCACACAGCCATATCACCCAGAATGTCAAGGATGAAAATCCCCTAATATCTGCTTTGAACTAGGGGCAGATCTAGACAGCCCCTTTAATGTGGAAACTTCTGCAATTAAAAGGGTTCTGCCCAGACTATGTTCTGGACAAACTGGAATTAATCTGCTAGGGACACAAATCATATTATGGTTAATAATCAATAAACATTCTTGCTATCTCTTGAATGCAACAATAGTTTTCTAAAGGAATGGCATTTCTGTAAGATAAGTTAATACAGGTTGTTTTGCAAGATCTAACATGGCTCATGAAAAATATGATTAATTCTTTTTCTCTTTATATGGTAACAGTTCCCACCTTTTTGAACAGCTATGGGAAGCTGTTGTAGCCTCCAAAGTGACAGGCTATCAGCATATAGGTAGAGTTTTTTCCTGCGACGTCTCTCAAACTCCAAAGCTTCTTGAGCGTCTTTACGGTCATTTTCCAATCTTGTTACCAGTTCTGTGACCTCTGCCAAAACAGCTGTTGTTTTCTGCTTTAAAGGCTGTATGTCTTCAAAAATTTAAAGGGGGAGAATAAGAAATATGCACTGCAATAATATATCATATTGCAAGTACAAACTGTTAGAATTTCACAAACCAAGTCACTAAACTTTGTACAAAGATTGTAATAAACAGATCCCCATAGCAGTTTAGTTAGTATTCTGCTGCAAAAGCCCAGATCTGCTGGAAATATATTAAATGAGATAGCTTGCAAAAGTCCATGCCATCTCCAATTACAGGACTGAGATTATTTTTCAAGAGTTCATACACATTTTTATTTATAGTATCATTGCCCACTTCTACCATAAAATAACATAAATTTAAAAGTTACCAAGGTTTTTAAATATATATAATTCAGTTTGTTGATGTTTATAAGCTTTGGTATAAAGGTTTTTGAAGACTATCTGCAATGCAGAACTTATTCTGTATAAAATTCACTCTGTGCTGAAACATTTTGCATTGAAAACAATATTTTAATGTGGAAATATTAATTCCCATACAGAAAATGTTGCTTTCTACCATATGTAATTTTGCACATTATAGGTCCCACATTGTGAAGATTCTCATCTGTCCAGAATTCTTCTCATTAGGAATTGTCAATACTCTAAATAGTTTTTTACCAGTTTAGGAAAATTAGAGAATAGTATAATTTCAATTTTGAATTCCTATGTAACAAACACAAATCTCTTTTGTCTTATATTTCATCTGCTCATTTCTCCTATATTTGCTGTTAATCCCTGACCAAAGCTTTTCCTTTCTTAAGGACCCTCTCTACCTGCAGTTTATATAATGCTGTGGCTTCCTTGTCCCCCCCCCCCCACATACACACACACAACCTAGTTCAGTTATTTTCATTTCAACAGTGCAGGGAAAATATGCCCATGCCTTGGACAAGTCCCGTTGAGGAAATATCCATGGCTGCAGTTCATCACAGGAAACTGCAGGTGGCACCCAAGATTTCCAGATATGCTGCAGCCCCAAATGGTCTCTTTCTTTTAGAAGAGAGTATAGCAATTTTGATTATGATGGTGATGATGATGATGATGATGATGATATGATTCCAGATATATGCTACTATCTTATTTCAAACAAATAATTTACATTAATGTGTGAAGATCACTACTATATTTTTTACGCATTTTATCCAGTTGAACTCCAGATGAACTGCTGGTCCATTTCTGAGTACAATTCAAAGTGCTGGTCTTGGTCTATAAAGCCCTGTATGGTTCCAGCCCAGCTTACCTGTCCAAACATATCTCCCTCTATGTCCTGCCTCAGAATTTAAGATCGTCTGGGGAGGCCCTGCTTTTGGTCCTGCGTTTTCAAAAGTGTGTTTGTTGGGGACGAGGGACAGGGCCTTCTTGGTGGTGGCCTCCTGCCCGTGGAATGCTGTCCCTAGCAAAAGTAGGTCAGCTCCATCCCTCCTCTCTTTTAGAAAGCAGCTCAAAACATGGTTTTGGGACAGGCCTTTGGACAGTAGGTTTGGTAGTAATCATAACGTTGGAATTTTGTCTATGACAGGCTTTGGACTGGGTCATTGGTGGCTAAATCAGACTGATTCAGCTACATGATAATAATGTTTTAAATGTATTTTAATCTAATGTTTTATCTTTTGTATAATATTGTACGTAATGTGTTGTATGTTGTTGGCACTGGATTGCTGCCGTTGTAAGCTGCCCTGAGTCTCCCTTCAGGAGTTGAGAAAGATGCGGTAGAAATGTTGGAAATAAATAAATAAAGGTTTTAAAGGAGCTGGATTAAATAATGATTTCATGCTTTTACATAGGCAAAACAACATTGTTCGTTTAGCGTAATCTGATAGTACCTTGACCAATGGTTGCATCTGATAGTACCTTGACCAATAGGAAATACAAGTGTTTATAAATGGAGATGAAAGACCAGGCCCTACTATCTAGTTTACCTCTTTTGATGAAGTATAACAGATTATTTTAATATTTGTGTTTCTCTTTTAATCTTTTGGAGTAAAAATACAGTTATTGCCTCCTCTCTTATTGAAAATGCTTGAAAACATGCAGGAAAATAGATTTATGAATAGTCAGTTCTCCTGGAAATCTCTCATTCATAGGGTTACTATATAAATTGAAGCCTGCTTGACAGCATATAAAAACAACAAAAAATAAGCCATCTTGTAGATTCTAAACACTTCTGACATGTCATTTATTTATTTATTTATTTATTTATTTCATTCACTTATACCCCGCCCTTCTCACCCCTGGGGGGACTCAGGGCGGCTTACATAAAGGGCACAATTAGATGCCCAAAACATACAACAAGTAAACCAAAAGTATAAAATTCAACAGTTAAGTTAAACAACAATACATAATAAAAGCATAAATCCTAAAACAATCTCATGTCAGAGTTCATATATCAGAGTCCATACATCCGTTCTATTCCGTTTGTCATTGTCTGTCTCCGGTCCTTGGTTTAATTATCAGAGTGGCCAAAAGCTTGGTCCCATATCCAGGTCTTTAGTTTTTTCCTAAATGCTAGGAGGGAAGTCGCCGATCTAATCTCCCCGGGGAGTGCGTTCCACAGGCGGGGGGCCGCCACTGAGAAGGCCCTGCTCCTCGTCCCCGCCAGCCTCACTTGCGATACTGGCGGGGTCGAGAGCAGGGCCTCCCCAGAAGATCTTAAACTTCGAGGTGGGACGTAAAGGGAGATCCGTTCGGACAAATACACTGGGCCGGAACCGTATAGGGTCTTATAGGTCAAAACCAGCACTTTAAATTGTGCTCGGAATTGGATCGGCAGCCAGTGGAGCTGGCGCAACAGGGGGGTGGTGTGCTCCCTGTACGCCGCCCCAGTGAGCAATCTGGCTGCTTCTCGCTGAACTAATTGAAGTTTCCGAGCAGTCTTTAAAGGCAACCCCACGTAGAGTGCGTTGCAGTAATCCAACCGGGATGTGACAAGAGCGTGGACCACCGTGGCCAGATCCGACTTCCCAAGGTACGGGCGCAGCTGGCGCACAAGTTTTAATTGTGCGAAAGCTCTCCCGGCCACCGCTGAGACCTGAGGATCCAGGCTCAGCGATGAGTCCAGGATTACTCCCAAGCTGCGAACCTGCGTCTTCAGGGGGAGTGTAACCCCGTCTAACACAGGCTGTAACCCTATACCCTGTTCGGCCTTCCGACTGACCAGTAGGACCTCTGTCTTGTCTGGATTTAGTTTCAATTTGTTAGCTCTCATCCAGTCCGACACAGCAGCTAAACACCGGTTCAAGGTCTGGACAGCCTCCTTAGTGACAGGTGAGAAGGAGTGACAGATTTGGACGTCATCTGCATAGAGATAGCATCTTAGTCCGAAACTCCGAATGATCTCTCCCAGCGGCTTCATGTAGATGTTAAATAACATCGGGGACAAGATTGAACCCTGTGGGACTCCACACAACAACGGTTGTGGGGCCGAACAGGTGTCACCCAGTAACACCTTCTGGGTCCGTCCCTCTAGGAAGGATCGGAGCCACCGCAAAGCAGTGCCACCGAGCCCCATATCCATGAGGCGACCCAGAAGGATACCGTGATCGACGGTATCGAAGGCCGCTGAGAGGTCCAGCAGAACCAACAGGGACACACTCCCCCTGTCTAGTTCCCTGCGCAGATCATCTACCAAGGCGACCAAGGCTGTCTCAGTTCCATGTCCCGGCCTAAAGCCAGACTGTGCCGGATCTAGATAATCAGTGTCTACCAGAAACCCCTGGAGTTGTGTTGCCACCACACGTTCCATGACTTTGCCCAAATAGGGGAGATTGGAAACAGGCCGATAGTTGTCGAATTGAGTGGGATCCAGTGATGGTTTCTTCAACAGCGGTTTTATAACAGCCTGTTTTAGGCTCGCTGGAAACTCTCCTTTCTGTAAGGAGGTATTAACCATCACCTTCACCCACCCCGCCAAACCCCCTCTGGCTTCCTTGACCAGCCAGGAAGGGCAGGGGTCTAGGATGCATGTGGTGGGTCGCACCTCTCCAAGGATCCTGTCCACATCCTCAAGCTGAACCAATTGAAACGAATCCAACAAAACTGGACAAGCAGGTGCTCTCGTTACATCCCCAGAGACTGCCGTTAACATGACGTCGAATCCAGACCGAATCCGCTCAATTTTATCCGCGAAGGATCGAGCAAATGCTTCACAGCGAGCCACCGAGTTATCCGAGGCCTCGCTTTTTGGCGGATTTAACAGGCCCCTGACAACTCGAAAAAGCTCAGCTGGACGATTCTTCGCTGATGCAATATTGGCTGTGATGAATGTTTTCTGAGCTGCCGCTATTGCCACACCGTAGGACCTTAAAAGGCATTCAGGTGTGTTTGGGCTGGATTGGTGGGGTTCTGGCGCCACACGCACTCTAGCCTCCTCTTCTTTCGCTTCATTGCTGCCAGCTCCTCAGTAAACCAAGAAGCTGGTTTAGCTCGGTTACTCGAGAGGGGGCGTTCCGGAGCGATAGTGTCAATTGCCCTGGTCAACTCACTATTCCAGCCAGAGACCAGAGCATCGACAGTGTCGCTAGCCAAGAAGGTGGAAAAATCCCCAAGAGCCGTCAGGAAACCATTTGGATCCATCAGTCTCCTGGGGCGGACCATTCTAATGGGTCCACCACCCCTGCGAAGGTTAGAAGGCACAGTTAGTCTAAAACTGATCAAGTGGTGATCGGACCATGGCAAAGGGGCCATGGTCATGTTGCTAGAATAAACCTATCAGCTGGAATAATTCCAACTAAATAGTTCAACCAATAACATCCTGACAGAGTAAATCATTACCTTTCACATATGATGACTGTTCAACCTTCAGTTCAGAAGAGACTGATAACCAGCTTTTTTCACCTTCTTCAACACTCCTAATCTCTATATCCCTGAAAATGTAAGTGAATATTTGTCTCCAAGTTCATTCTAATGTCTGTAAAGAACTCAAAATCCACCTTCTGTATATGAATCATTCATAACTTATCAATCCAAGCAGTTCTCATTATGTAACCAAAAGTGTATACTAGGCAGTGGACAAAAATAAGTTGTAGTCTGCATACATGCCAGAATTTCAGCACCTCCACACGCAAAAATAATAATAATAAATGTCTTCCTTGGGGAACTTGGTTCTTGGAAAAAAAAATATTGAGTTGCTTTTGTAGTATATTTAAGGTTTTATCACAGTTAGTACGTTGCTTAAGGTTACTACTGAATTGATACTTATAAGATCCTTACCGTGGAACTGTCTCTGGCAGATACAAATGATCATACTGCAAATATAAATGAAATGAAATTATTCAGTGACATGCTACATATTTTAGGATTTGCCCTAAAATAGAGTAAGTGACTGTACATATAAACAAACCACATATAAAAATATTAAAATAAACTGGAATCTTTTTTAAACTGTTTAACCAGTCAAATAAATTGCTAACACAATGAAAGTGAATGTTTATAAAGAAAAAAAAATCTTACGGGATTCAATGAGACTTCCTTCTTTATGAAGAAAACCATGAAGGATTGCAAAGCATTCAGAACAACTTATTTCATTACCCTAATAATATTTCTCTCACACACACACATATTCTTTCTATGCTATCATAATGATAATGGAGCAGACATTTCACCTTTGGAGGCACATCTGGATACAGAATAGTGGGAGAAGGAAAACAGGACTGTTCCATTGTCCTATTTTCATCTTTCCATAGTTGGTTTTTAGCCCAGATGGGCATTAAGTCTAATAAAACTTCAGTTCTATACACACAAATACCTAAATATGCCACAGGCACCAAATGTGATCTTGAAAGCTAAACAGGAACAGCCCTGGTTAATATTTCGATGGGAAATCACCAATGAATCCCATGTGCTGTAGGCGATATTTCAGATGAGGGAACAGATAAAGCCACCTCTAAACATTCTTCATCTAAGAAAATCCTATGAAATTCATGGGATCACTATAAGTCAACAAGCAACTTGTTTTTTATTGTAAAGTTGCCTTGAGAAAGTAACTTTGAAATAAAACAAGAAATATATTTAAATACAGTACCCATTGTAAGGTTTCTTCCACTTTCGCTTCTAGATCTTGAATATGATGAACAGCTTTGTTAACACACGCAGATGGAGTATTGACAGCAGCACAACTACGTTGCCTGGATGGTAAGGCCAATGAAATCTGTTCATTTATGCCTAAAATAATTCAGGATAGTAATTTTGGGTTTTTTTAAAAAAAACAAGAAGTAAGTATTTTTAACATTTAAAACATTTTGATGAATTTGTGAGCTCTTAATGTCCAGCCATTGTGGTTTCAAATTAATCCGCTTTCAAATATAACTTCTACTATGAAGCAATATACTTCATTTTGATGGCACTGTAATTAGACATGTAGATAATTGTATTAACAAATTTGGCAAGCAATAGTTTGTCAAAGTATTTGCTTGGTAGCAAAGAACGATTTCCCTTATTCATGCTGTAATCCTGATCAGCCAGCTGCTGCCCAGGGGCACTTATAGTGCAATCTTAATACATTTAGTCAACATAGAGAGAAATTGTTAAGTAGACCACAGTAAAAGTGACTTACTTCTTCTGGAGTGTGTGAAGGAACAATTGAACTAGAAGGGAAATGGTGGCCTGGAATAAGACTGAAAATTGTCGAAGGCTTTCATGGCCAAAATCACTGGGCTGTTGTAGGTTCTTTTGGACTATATGGCCATGTTCTAGAGGCATTTTCTCCTGACGTTTCACCTGCATCTATGGCAAGCATCCTCAGAGGTTGCTTGCCATAAATGGAGGCAAAACGTCAGGAGAGAATGCCTCTAAGAACATGGCCATATAGCCCGAAAAAACCTACAACAACCCAAGACTGAAAATGTTTGGCAGCTGGCAGAAGTTACTGTTGTTGATCACTCAACCAATTGAAGAGAAAGCCAGCAATCTACAACTCCAAGACTGGTCATGTTTGTTCAGGCTTAGATTTATTATTACTGCATTTTATGGGTATTGGAGCCCGTTTTTGTTTTGTGTATTTTAATGATGCTGTATTTGTCTGTTTTAACCATGTTGTACCTAATATATTATAAGTATTATTGGTTTATGTCTTTTCTTTGTTCCAAAGCAGAATTGTTTTGAATAAAGAAAAGAAATAAAGCTCTAAGTCTGGACAACATAAATCAAAAACTACCTGAAGGCACACAACAACAAACATTTGAGCTGGATATAATTTAATAATAAAATAAATTTTCATATTTATTTATTTTTATTTTTTGCAATCTAAGAGAATTTCAGTTAGACATAGTGTGCAGTCAATACCAATTAATAAATTCAGTTATTTGTCACATTCATCCTTCTGATATCATTGATTGATTGATTGATTGATTGATTGATTGATTATATCCCATCCTATATCTTAGGTTCTCAGGGTGGCATACTCCCTGATAGCGGAGTTAGAGATAGCACTTGCTGAGAGAAGCCCTGCAAATAATAATGGACACAATAATCATAATGCAACCATGGTCTCATTAGACCTGTTCTGCAGGGAGGATTGCAAGAAGCTGAATCATGGTAATTCACTAGCAGCATATGTTTTGATGGTAGACAGACAATATTGAGTACAACCCAGTAATCATAAAATATAAACTCCAACAGAAGGCATTCAAACTTAGAAATAATGGTAGTCAATGACAGATTATATACAGGACAGCATCAAAAAGGGAAATACTGTGATAATTGGGGATTTTTTTACACAATATAAGTTGGTCAAAGTTCCAACAAGACAAAAATACCTTCAGGTTGTTGACTGTTATTTTTGGAAGCAGAGGAGAACAGGTGCAAGTCAGTCATTCTTGTGTACGGTTCTTTTCAGCCTAGTTTGTTGGAAAAGAGAAAAGATGGAATCCCAACTAAGTTAGTCAAGAGATCAAAATACATTCAGCTTAAGATAATCATTTTCCACAGAGTTCAGTCTGACTAAGGAACAACCAGCATAATACTGGATTCAGCCCAGTGTGCTGACAATATGATAATACACAGTACTTTCAGGACTATTACTATCAACTGTTTTTAAAGCTATGGTGTTAACAAGGGCAAATTATTAGTAGCAAGTACAGGCTCGAAGGATAGGCAACATGCACAATAGGCTCAATAGGCTTCTGTATGGATTCAGTTTGGTCAGTTCCCTTCAGCCACTCCGACTTGTTCAGCTGAGGGTTCAGCCACCATGTTTTTTTTGGCTGAAATGGGCCACATGGCAGTCGGTCACAGCTCCTCCTCTCCTAGTCAGCATCATACGGCATACAAAGAGGCTGCCACATGCTCATGTGGGGTTTCCTTGTGAGCCCTGTCTGTTGGGCCAATCAGAATAGAAGAACACTGTAATGTGACTGTCTCTATTTAATGGGGTGAGCACCTCCATTGCTCTTAGCTGCGTCCTTGCACTAGAGAGGTGGTTTGGTCTGATTGCCATGCCACTCACTCTCAGCTTTATTTTTTGGTTTGACTTGGCTTGGTCTCTCTCTATCATTGAATGTTTTCAATTTTCCTTTATTTTCCTACATTTTCTTAATTCTTTTTATTCAGTGAGACTGGGAGTTGGGGAAGTGTGGGACGGGTGGGTGACATGTGCATGCACATTTAGGGACTTGGGAGAAAGAAAGAAAGAAAGAAAGAAAGAAAGAAAGAAAGAAAGAAAGAGCATCTCTTTGGTCTTGATGTGCTTTTCTTTAAACATTTGAGTAGCTCTGAGAGCCTTGACCCACCCTTTAGTTTCTTTTTCTCCTTCCCTCCTCTCCTTCAGAAAATACTTTTAAAAGATAATAATAATCACAATTCCCAGCAAACAAACAGAAAAACCTAATTCTCAGAAGGGACTCTCCCAGCCAATGCAGTTGGTTGGGAGAGTGATTTGCCCCTCCCCCCAGAAGGCAGAGAATGGAGGTTCCTTCGAACCTCCTAGAAGAAGGGAGGGGGTTGGCTGATCACATGAGCCAGCCTCCTTCCTTCAGTCTTGCTAAGACTTTCTAGGAGGAGGACGCAACTAAGGTCTGCTCCTGGGAAGGGCCGGGAAGGAGGAGAGCCTTCTCTCCTTCCCCTGCGGATCCAGGCCGCCGTGGCCGCCGCGGGGATCGTCGGCGAGGCGGCACGGCGGGAGGAGCGAGTGGCGCGAGCTCGGGAGCCTTCTCTCCTTCCCTGCGGTAGTCAGGCCGCCGTGGTTCGCCGCGAGGATCGGCGGTGAGGCGGCGCGGCGAGAGGAGCAAGTGGCGCACGCTCGGGTCCTCCCGAGTCAAGGCCGCCGCCGACATTGGGAGGGCGCGAGGGCGTCCTTCCCGCGATCGTTTTTTGTTGTGCGGGCCTTGCCCGCGACTTTGGGGCCACGCGAGGTTTCCTGGCAGCGCGGTAGCAGCGGCCGTCATTTTGGGCGGCCGCTGCTGCGATAGGCGCCATTTTGGTCTTCGGGGCCGAGCGCTGCTGCGCAGGGCGCCATTTTGGCCTTCGGGGCCGTGCGCCGCTGCACTGGGCGCCATTTTGGTCCCATTTTGTGACGCAGTTTTGCACAATTAGTTTTTGGGGCAGTTCGGCCATATGAGAGGCTGGGGCCTCGATCCGGCCGCGCGCTAGTTAAGGCGAGGCCCCGATTCGGCCGCACTAGTGGCGGCGGCTGTTTTCGCCAGCCGCGCTTTGTTGAGGGTTGATTTATTGATCCCTTTAAGCAGCGGCAGCCATTTTGTTGGAAGCACGGCTGCCATTTGGTATTGGTATGGCCCGTTTTGGCCTGCTATAAGGAGACTTGGACAAGTTTGCCATAGCGAATGTCAGGAGCTAGGAAGATTCCTTTTGGATTATGGTCCAATTTTGAAATTGTGTTGGTTTTTAATATTATATATATATATATATATATATATATATATATATTTAAAAAAATCCGCTTAAAACAATACAATAATTAAAATGAAGAACAATTTTAACAAATACAAACATTAGTATTTCAATGGGAAGTATTAGCATACTTATTCTGTAGGCAGAAGCGGGTGAGGGCGCATGGTGTCTCTTTCAACTCTTTGATTCTATGATTTTAAGGCGCCACAGGCGGGTGGTGGCTAATGACGCATGGTCCATTTTTTGTTGTGTTAACCGGGCCACGGTTCGGGTCACCAACAGGTGGTTGCCCATTCGGCATAGGCATGGGAAGCTGGCGCCTGGGGTCTCTTCCAACTCTTTGATTCTATGGTTCTAGGGCGTCATAAGCAAGGGAAGGGGAACGACGCATATGTTTTTTCCAACTCTTTGTTTCTATGGTTATGTGGTGCCGTAAACAATAGGGCGGCATAAGTGGGATATCTGGGAAGGCACATGGCGTTTCTTCCAACTCTTTGATTCTATGATTAGGTGGGGCTGTAAGCACTCTATCATCGCCGCGATGGCAGGTGGGGGAGGCTGCTACGGGGGCACATGTGCACGGTGGGCGGTGCCGGTGCTCATTGGTATCTTCTACTCCCCTTTGTTCTTTAGGATGCCTTCGAAGAAAAACAAGGGGGGCCCTAAGGAAAAGGGTCCCGCGGAGAGGACGGGTCACAAGCGCCCTTTACATCAGGACGGGTCATCATCGGATGAAGATGGAGTGTCTATGGAAGATCTAGAGGCCCTTCTGCTGCGTGTTAACCAAGTGGAACAGGATAGGGGGGTCGGGACTGGTGGGGCTGGTTCACGCCCCACTCGCCGGGCAAGCAAGAAGCAATTGTTTAAATTCTTGCTGTCCCGGGTTTCTATTTTAGAGTCGGCTTCAACCGCGGGGGCTGAAAAGGCGGTTCGACTTCCTGACCAGCCGGCGGCTCCGGGGGCTGCGGAGAGCTCTTCTTCGGTGTCTTCGGCTGTGCAGACCATCACCAGCCTCGAAGCACGTCCATCGGTGCAGACTTCGTCCGGGTCCATGGCGGCTGCTGTGGCCGGACCCAGTCAGCCCGCGGCATTGGCTTCCACATCCAGTGCCGTGGCCGGGTCCACTCAGTCGGTGGGGTCGACTGCTGCTTCCACTGAGGTAGCAGGGCGCGAGCAGTTGGTGACGGCTGTCCCAGCAGGTACTTCCACCACACTCACATCAGCACGTACTTCCACCTCACTCACATGGCCCTGGGACCAGGGGCGGCCTCAACCTGGGGTGGGGGTTCAGTCACATGCTGCAGTTGGGATTCAGTCTGCTGGTGGGTCAGAACCCAGTATAGGGGATAATAGGGATGATTCCACCACTCAATCGGCCAAACCAGCTACTGTCACCTTGGAATCGGCCCGAACTGGGGAAGCTAACAAATTTTGGGGCACAGCAAAATGGCCACCGCAGGCGACTCCTACTGTCAGTCTTTCAGGTTTAGGTTCCCATTTGGCAACCAAAACTATGGAGAAGATATTGAGAAATGAATATATCGATATCTTTTCTTTATACTTTAGGGATCTGGATAAGAAGGAGAAGGATGAGTTAGATGAGGACAGTAAGGAGAAAATTAAGAAACGCAAGATTGAGCAGAATTGGGAGAACTGGCTCCCTTGTTTCACGATGTACGCAAATCTGCTTTCTGATGCTGCCCCGGAAAGGGCTACAGCTTTGTGGCAGTATCAGAATATTATTAACAAGGCTTATGTTAGCGGCCCTCCTAACGCTTGGCTAGAGTATGATAGGCGTTTTAGAGCTGAAGCGGCTTGCCACCCAGACAAACGCTGGGACTTGATCGACGACCAAATTTGGATTGAAGTTATGAATCCATCTAGGGCTTCATCTGCCTTGAAGGCGGACAGTGGGCACACTATTCAGAACACAGCGGGACAGCCCTCTCGGCAGGGGGCTCCCCAGCTGCAGTCCCAGCGCCAAAAGCCTTTATGCTGGGAATTTGTGGCTCAGGGAGCCTGTTCACGGAAGGACTGTCGATACGCGCACTCGTGCTCTATTTGTTATGGGACCCACCCATCCCGAAATTGCCCCAAGGGGAGAGCCGCGAGAGGTAATACTAGGGACACCCAATTCGTTAAGAAACCTTCAGGACAGGCCGCAGTTTCACAAGGGCCCCAGCCCAATTAAGTTAAATCAGTTGAAGGTTTGGCTGGATCAGTACCCAGATAAGGGGGCAGCTAAGTACCTATGGGAAGGTTTTTTCAGAAGGTTTTCATATTCCTGTGTTGGGTCCCCGGTTTTCCCACATTATCCTCTAATCTGAGATCCATGAAATAACCGCTGCTCATTCTCGGATCGACACACTTTGGCCCATGTTCCCTTCAATCCCTTCAAAATTGTGGGTGACAGGGGTTCCCTCTTATCCTGTGATGGACCTCGATGACGGGTCCTTCCCGCAATAATTTTATGTAGGCGGAAATCGTTCGTGGGGGTCTAAAAGGCCCTGCGCTTTTGACCAGTAGGCCAACGCCGACAGCGGGGACTTAATAGTGTGCGGCGCTAGGCCCTTTCTGCGTGAATACACGCAGAACTGCGCCTAATGCCCATAAGGAATCGGTACTGTGGATGGTAACTCGTCAAACTGCCTAAACTCGTGAAACTCCCTATCACACCAAAATGAACGGTCGAATTGGCAAAGGCCTCAACCCATAATTTAACTGCAACTAGTATAGGAATAATTCCAAAAATGTTAAGTCTGATGTGATCCCCTGCGCGTGCTGGCTGTGGTTGCATTAGCTAGATGCAGGGACCCCGAGCTAGGGTTGAGTCGAGGGGATATTTGTTTTGCCTTCAGGATTCCACCCCCTCGCAAAATCTCAGTTTGGGCCATCACAGATAGGGCACCGAAGATGCTGGGGTTAGGGTGCCCATAAATTTGGCACTCATTCTTTTCGTATAGGGGCGG